TGTGTGTGTGTGTGTGTGTGTGTGTGCCAGTGGTAGATCTAGTTCCTGTTTCTTTCCTTTTTCATCTATTGTTTCGGTTTTGTCTGTCTTGCTATTCCATCACTCTAAATGACCTGTTCTGTAGGCTTCTGTTTGCTCAAGGATCTGCCCTTAATAGTATGTGTGTTTCTTTTTTTTTCTGTTTTACATCCTTGGCTCGTAAGTGAACGAGCCACCGAATGATTGACCTTTGCTCTCTCTTTCCACTGTTTACCGAAATTTCTGTGTGTTTTCTTTGAGTAAATAGAAACACACCAATGCAACAATGGCCATTAGGTAGCGGACAGAGAAATAAAAATAAGACAAACAGATTAGGAAACATAGCATAAAAGGAAAAAAGTAGGACGTACCAGAGACGTCCTCAAACCAACCACACACACACACACACACACACACACACACACACACACACACACACACACATACCTGGGTTCTTGGTCAACAGAGAGTTTGGAGGACACCTTGCACTTGAAGTAAAAAAATGCAAGCTTTGTGACGTCAGCGACATAAGGGGAGATCAGTCGTCACTGGTGAGAGTAACGCCGCGGATGTCTCCAGATCTTTTCAATTTCCTTTCATTCATACGACAAGCCGGACAGGTCCACAGAAGTGAGAAACAAGACAGGTGGTACATAAGAACCTCCCCCTCCACCCCCCCCCCAAAAAAAACACACAAAAATACCAACTGCTGGCGTCGAGAATAGTCTAAAAGTACAGATGTAACAGTCAACTCTTCTAGAATAGACCTGTTTGGGTTGTTTTTTTATCAATTAATTTCTACACTTCCCTTTCCTTATTCTTGCTGTATCATTTTGTGCAGTAAGCACGAAGAAACGTTCCGTAGATTTCAGTCAGAAAGTTGAGCTATCTTTTGTACTCATTATTTTATGGGATAAATGATACTTTTTTTTTCATATAGACAAACATTTCTCCTTTTTTCAAAAGAGATGTACATAATGGAGCACACTTAGACTTGAGGATATGATGGTTGATATATTTGTGATACTTTCACGAAAACGAGGTTACGGAATGTATTATCAAACAAATAATACATTATTAATAGTAGTACTTAGTTTTTTGAAAATATCTAATAATAAAAATATTGTTTTAATTAAAAAGAATAGTAAATTAAACAAATATTAATAATAATATTAATAAAAATAAAAATAATAATAAT